CACTTCATCCTCACTCGAAAGAGGATACTCATCCCCCAAAGGAGAACAGCCTACCCATCCTGCAAAAAAGCTAATCTAGAAATACTGCCCAATGAATGACAAAACAAATCGAAGCAAGCTAGAAAGGTGGGGGTGGGGGTCAAGAGGAGCAGAAGGAAAAAAAGTGAAAGTTTGCACATCTAGACAACAGAAAAAATGTCCCCCTTCTACCACCCCAAACAAATCTTCCAGACAATGTCTCTCCTTGTCATAACCCACCTCTTAAATCAAATGTCGATTCTGGATGTAATGCAACTGATATTATAAATGTACCATGCAGCTTTCCTCTTACCTGCCACTACATTTAACTCCTTCAGAACCATTCTCTCCGATTCCCTCAGCACTGCAACTTTCAATAAAAAAGAAACAACACTTAAACTGTGTTCTGTGGCACTGCAACTTTCAATAAAAAAGAAACAACATTTAAAATGTTACTCCTAGGAAGAAAGTGACAGAAAGACTATTTTACTTTTAAAAAGCATCATTTAGAGCTATAATATACCAAAGAATCAGAGCTAACTTGCTTGACTAAAACCAAAGGGACTGGAGGCCTCAAACAGCTGCCTGCAGGGACAGGCAGGTTTAAGGCTGTCTGCTATGCGGACACAATCTACATTATTCTAAAATATATCTGACCCTTAAATTTCCCCCTAGATTGATAATATTCATAACACTTTGTATTTTTCACTTCAACATCTTTATATCAATTTCAATGGAAAATTTACAGTTCAAAATGTATAGCAAAGATTGAACTTAGAGTAGAAAGGATGCAAACAGAAAGAAAGATGCTAAATTTGTAAGAATCTGAATACACTAACTTTTTATTCAGTTTGATTCAAAATAATAATATTACTCTAATAGTGAAATAGTGATATAACATCCATCAACATTTAAAGTATTTTCTGTTTCAAAGTATGGCTCCAGGAACACTCATTACTTAAATGCACTTAGACATAACAAGACAATATTTTTTATTGGCATCATTGACACCTTTGAACAATAGCCTAGTAAATAGATTAAGGTTTAACCTTCCTTTTCTTTGGTGTTGTTTAGAGGCTTTAAAGAACAGATAACTCATTTCAACAGGAATCTACTACTGATATTTACCTCTATATAATCTTTAGCTAAGACATGGAATGCCAAAAACAAGCTTTTGTTAGCTTGACCTCCTCCACCTCCTAACAACAAAAGTTATCCCCAAACCTATGTTTTTATTTTAAAAGTATTGATCTTTGAACATAAGGCTTGGCCTTTTAAATACTAAATGCAATCAATGACAAACAACCTGACTTTGTGAAGACTGAGAAAGCAGCAGAATGGAGAAATTTTCTTTAAATTGTTTGGTGACTTAGTACAAATTTGGAGAGGTCAGTAAATCCTGATGCTATGAGCTAAACCTTCTGGTAAATAATTAATTACATTTCTTAGATACTATCATTTTATCTTGGTAAATAGAGAAAACACAGCTTTGCCAAATAGATCTTTCCATCTAAATAATATCTTAAAGGCAATCACTTAAATATGACCACAAATATAGGGTTATATTTTGTTTAAGTTAGACAATTAACTGAAGATAAATGTAAATGTCCATAGTTTAAAAAGGGGGAAAAAAATACAAATTAACTGGCCTAGTCTTTTATCTGAGTTTATTAATACCATTTAAAATATTACAAATAAATCAATTACATTTCATGCATTTAAAATGCAAGTCTAAAATGTTCCAGAGAAAGGCTTTTCATTTCAATGTGAAATATCGAAATTATTTCAACATTACAATGAGCAATTAGTTTGCAGAATCTGCAAACGTTTAATGTAGTGTCAGGAGTGTTTATTAACAGTTAACAATATTACCTTCAGGAAATACACAAAGGCCAAAGTTAGTCGAGTTTCACTTGGACAATTTATTTAATACATGGGTTTTGGCAGACCCAGTTATTATGAAATAATAGGAGAACTCTCACTTTAACTATGCCTGAACTGCCAGCAAATGCAAATAAGTACATGCTCCATTAAATTAAATGTCATCCAACATTTATCAAATATTGTCTTAGTTACAGTTTGATACCTATCTAAACTCATATTCGAGCAAAACTAGGCCCCGAAAGTGCGTTTGTGGCTCTGCACCTCCAGAAGTGAGTTCAAAAAACCTGCAGCTCATCAGAACTGCAACAATAATTCTTAATATTTTCTTGTGACAAAAAAAAAATCAAGTTTACTTCAATATATTTTCAAATATTTACTGGAAGTAATGTACAAGAAAAATACTATACAAAATCGTCTCCTGGACAACTGCACCTCGCACCCTTACAATGGTGGAGTTATATTTAATTGATAACTAATCTAGAACGATTCTCAAGTTGTACAAACCATTAGGTTCAGATATATTTTACAAAGATTTTTTTTCCCTATTTTCCCTCTTTTGGCATTTAACTACAGCCTCGTCTGAAATAAACGACAGCTTCTTCACTTGCTTATAAGTTCAAATTTAAAAAAAAATAATAATTTTAACCCTAAGATCTTCAATGAATTGGAAGGATTTACAGAAATGGGTACTATACAAATTGATGACTGGACGAACAAAAAGATTGGGAGATTATGCTCGGGAGTGGTGAAAAACGAGGTAGAAAAGGACAAACACGGAGATAGTTAATCTGGTCTCACCGGAAAGGGGTATTTTTGCATAAGAAAGACACCTACCCTCACCCCCACCCCCACCTCATAAGTTAATGCGATCAAAATAACTTTGGGATCAATATTAGCACAGTTTCCAGAGAAAGACTTGCTCACTGCTAGAGGAAAAACTATCTATTAATAGAAGGGAAACCAAGGGAAGGTTACTTTTATCCCTTCAGTATTAAAGTTAAAAAAAAAAGTTATAAAGATGAAAGCTTGCTTGCTGCAGCAACACGACAACCCTGCCCTTCCCTGAAACTTTAATCCGTTCCACCTTAACGGAACAAAGAAAGAAGCAGAGCCGGGGTTGGGAAAGCTAAACTCTGCAAACTTGGGTCTCGGTGCTGCCAGATGGGCACCCCACCCAGCTCCGACCGCCTGCGCAGGGCGCGCGAGATTACGCAACGACCCGGCTAGATTTAGGGAGGAAGCGGTGGCGCCTAGGGTTGCGGTTCCGGAACCAAGTCGGCGGCTGCCCTTGCCGGGATGCCCTGCCTGGGTCTCCTGCCTCGCCCTTCCCATTGCTCCGGCTCAAGTTTGCTCATCCGCGCCGTTCCAGCCCACGCGGGGGCTTGCGGTCTCCCAAACTCTGGATTCGTCCAGCTCTACCTCCAGCGGCCGCTGCCCTCTCAAAGTTAACGCCTGTCACGACCTGGGGATGGCGGAAGGAGGACAAGAGAGGACTAGAACTAAAGGCCTGGAGAGTTGCGGGTTCGAGTTGCACCGGGCTGAGGCAGTGTTAGCCGAGGAGAGGAAAAGCCAGGGCCCGGGACAGCGATGCGTGTTACTATCAGAACTGCAACAATAACTTTCTTAATATTTTCTTGTGACAAAAAAAAAATCAAGTTTACTTCAATATATTTTCAAATATTTACTGGAAGTAATGTACAAGAAAAATACTATACAAAATCGTCTCCTGGACAACTGCACCTCGCACCCTTACAATGGTGGAGTTATATTTAATTGATAACTAATCTAGAACGATTCTCAAGTTGTACAAACCATTAGGTTCAGATATATTTTACAAAGATTTTTTTTCCCTATTTTCCCTCTTTTGGCATTTAACTACAGCCTCGTCTGAAATAAACGACAGCTTCTTCACTTGCTTATAAGTTCAAATTTAAAAAAAAATAATAATTTTAACCCTAAGATCTTCAATGAATTGGAAGGATTTACAGAAATGGGTACTATACAAATTGATGACTGGACGAACAAAAAGATTGGGAGATTATGCTCGGGAGTGGTGAAAAACGAGGTAGAAAAGGACAAACACGGAGATAGTTAATCTGGTCTCACCGGAAAGGGGTATTTTTGCATAAGAAAGACACCTACCCTCACCCCCACCCCCACCTCATAAGTTAATGCGATCAAAATAACTTTGGGATCAATATTAGCACAGTTTCCAGAGAAAGACTTGCTCACTGCTAGAGGAAAAACTATCTATTAATAGAAGGGAAACCAAGGGAAGGTTACTTTTATCCCTTCAGTATTAAAGTTAAAAAAAAAAGTTATAAAGATGAAAGCTTGCTTGCTGCAGCAACACGACAACCCTGCCCTTCCCTGAAACTTTAATCCGTTCCACCTTAACGGAACAAAGAAAGAAGCAGAGCCGGGGTTGGGAAAGCTAAACTCTGCAAACTTGGGTCTCGGTGCTGCCAGATGGGCACCCCACCCAGCTCCGACCGCCTGCGCAGGGCGCGCGAGATTACGCAACGACCCGGCTAGATTTAGGGAGGAAGCGGTGGCGCCTAGGGTTGCGGTTCCGGAACCAAGTCGGCGGCTGCCCTTGCCGGGATGCCCTGCCTGGGTCTCCTGCCTCGCCCTTCCCATTGCTCCGGCTCAAGTTTGCTCATCCGCGCCGTTCCAGCCCACGCGGGGGCTTGCGGTCTCCCAAACTCTGGATTCGTCCAGCTCTACCTCCAGCGGCCGCTGCCCTCTCAAAGTTAACGCCTGTCACGACCTGGGGATGGCGGAAGGAGGACAAGAGAGGACTAGAACTAAAGGCCTGGAGAGTTGCGGGTTCGAGTTGCACCGGGCTGAGGCAGTGTTAGCCGAGGAGAGGAAAAGCCAGGGCCCGGGACAGCGATGCGTGTTACTTACATGTCCACATGTCCTTTACAAAGTTAAGTCACAGAGAAGAGAGAGAGTGAGAGAAAGAGAGACAGAGCGAGCAGGGTGCAGTGGAGAGAGGCTGGAGTTGGGAGGTCGGGGAGAGGGGTGGGCGCGGGGTGCGCGTCACTCTAGGCCATTGCGGTGCCCGGGCTCAGGGCAGTGGAGAGAGGCTGGAGTTGGGAGGTCGGGGAGAGGGGTGGGCGCGGGGTGCGCGTCACTCTAGGCCATTGCGGTGCCCGGGCTCAGGGGGCTGCA